AACTGTTATGATAGTCTAAAACCGAAAAATATTTTTCCTACTTTTTTTACTATTTTGCTAAAAATTATTTGCTGATAAAATTGTGTTAAATATTTCGTCGATTTGCATGGATACGTTGAAGTTTTTTTTTGGTACAAACAGCAAATGGTTTTTTTGTAGAATCGACGGGTAAAAACCGTTTTTTTTACTGTAAGGAATTTTGATGGGTGGTAGGACGATGGTAACCGAACGTGGTTCGTGGTTCCTTACGGGAAAGATTATTTAAGGGATGGGAGCGCGGAAACAGGGGTCTTCCTGTTGAGACTGAGTGCCGGTGAACTTTAGTAAGTAAACCTCGTGAGTTTAAGCCGATTCTGATCCGTTATTTTTTATCAGCGATGCTGTAAAAAAAACGAATTTTTGAGTTTAAATAAGTAAAAGTACCGTATCTCCGTTTTTGATTTTAAATAAGTATAAACCGTATTTCTGATTTATGAGTATAAATAGTTAAAAACCGAGCGTTTAAGTTTTTTTTATACCTGACCGTGAATAATTAGTGTGACCGAATTCCGGGCTGCTGTAGGCGATTCCGCAACCAGACCGATTCGTTTTGATGCGACGCCGATTTTCTTCAGAAAAAAAGGTAATCGCATTCTTTCTTTTTTTTAACCGCCAGATACGCCATCAGAGTTCTAGTAATCACAAATTTTAGTTTCAGCACAGTAGAGTTTCTATTTTATTTTAATGGTATAATATTTCATACGTATTTGAATTTAATTAAGGTTTCTATTTTATTGGATATTATAATGATTTTCTTTACAGGTTTGAATTTAAATACTGTGAACTTAATTATTTGCTATTGTAATTAACCGATTTAATTTTTTTTGGTATATAGATATTTGACCTATAACTAGATGATCTGATTTAATTTATTTTTGTTAGATTTTGCGATATTTCATGTTTTAATATTTTTTTTATATTTGAATTTGAGTACTTTGAACTTGAAGATATTGGATTCATATTTAATTTATTTAAATAAACCTCGTTATGGAATATATTCGACTTTAACTGGCTTTTACCCCATTTCCCTGGATTCTCCACTGTAGAAAAGCTACCCGTACTGCCAGTAGTGGTCTCTCAAACACTATAAATTTTGAGGGTGGCGCCCGAGAGACAAAAGACCGACGGCTCGGCGTTAGTAATAGCTCTCTAGGAAAAAAGGCTGTTACAAGTATCAGTACTTTATTTAAAAATGTGTGTCTCATAAAAGAATAAAAGTAATATGATAATTCAAAAACTAAAATGTTAGGAATACATCTAAGATTACAGGAAAGTGTTTTTTATCTAAAATGCTCGTCCCATTTTTTCCACAGGGTGTTTTGAATTTATTGCAAAAAACGAAGTTTTAATTTACCCCGGTATAAACCCACCTAACAGAAATATATAAGCCATTAAAATAATAAAAAATAATGCCAACAAATTTATCTACAAACTAATATCATTATCATAAAAATCAGATTACAAATTCAAAAGTTATGAAATATCAAACTTAATCTAAATTTTAGGGTGGCGGAATTTTGTGCCGGGGAGTTTATACAGGGTGCTCCAGAAATACGAGCAAGTATTTTAAGGGGTGTTAAGATAAAAGAAACATATTTTTTCTTTATCGTTTTTCAAATAAGTCCAAAATAACGGAGTTATTTTACTTTGAAAACTAAAAAAAAAGATTTTTTGCTAAAAATTTGAGAACCACTGGATCTTTTCTGGATTTCTTTCTTGTAAATTTTATCTAATATCTATGTTGCAATATTATCAAGATATTATGTTTTTTAACTAAAAACTAAAAAAAATCCAAAAAAATGTCGATTTTTCAAAAAAAAAATTGGCGGAAAAACCTCATAAGTGTGGTTGAACTATTCTACCAGTTAAAATACTTGCACTTATTTCTGGGACACCCTGTATAAATAAAAATTATCCTTATGCAAATTAAGCATTGGGTATTTTTAATAGGTACTTTAAGTTAAAAAAAATTGTAAAACACTTTAAATTTAAATGGAACAAACTATAATCTAATTAAGCTACATTAAGTCATTACTTTCCATTTCAATTTAAGATGAAAATAATTGTTTTAAATTAAATTATTATCTTTACTTCCCTAGTCTGCGGCATCACTTATTAAAACTAGCCCTAGAGTCAAATATACTTCATTAATTTCTAACTCCATTTACAGAGGCAGTTAAATGAACTCTGTGAGGCATCCTAAAACTTTTACTGCTAATTAGATTTATCTGTCAATAATACGAACTGCCGGCAGTTTGACTTAATAACGAATAATAAATATATTTTCTGCTTTAGCGAGAATCTCAAGCTTGTAGTCCGGGAGTGGGAGCCATTAAATCTTCTAGGATCGCATAATAATTAGTTTTATTTCTTTGTTGTTTCCCTAAGATATCATCCGTTTCGGGCAAGCCGGTAACGCTGAAACAATCATCATAGTATCATGTATTAAACAAAGGTGATTGGTTGACGGTTCTCGTACTTTTTCTTTTTTTTTTCCTCTCGTTTTCCTATTGGTCAGCGCTATCCCTGATTTTATACCCTCAAAAAAAAAATAGTGAAGATATTGACTAGTATTGAAATATCCACTGGCGGAGTTATTATATAGGGTGTTATACCTTAATTTGTGCATTTTATAATTATTAGTACATGCTTTCTAACAAATATTACTATACTTAGAAAATCACTAGACAATAGGTAGATATAAAGGGTTGTTTACCACATACAACACGGAGTATTGTAGCTAAACGACTAGATTTTTACAAATTGTAAGTTTTGCTTTCGATGTCGGACTATTAGATGTACAATTTAAACATAATTTTACAAGATACAGAGTGTCCCAAATAAGTAAAAAATATTATAGTTGTATTTTTTTCAATGGAACACCCTGTATATTATTCTATTTTTAGATTTTACGGTTGAAATAAAGGTAAATTTGATTAAAGTTTATCACACTTAAACCTTACCGTTTTTGAAATATTTTCAATTTTGTGAAATTGCAGAAAAAAATTTAAAGCCTTATTTCGCAAAGGTTTTATATACCAACTATTTACTGAATGTTATTTATTGATCAGATATTGGTGTTGCAATAATAAAATAATAAAATACCTTATACAGAGTGTCCAAAAATTTATATTCAATAATTACTAGATTTAAACGGCAATAACTTGTTTAATTTAAATAGAACACCCTGTATATTTTACGTAAATCAGATGCACAATTTAATTGTCTATCAAATTGTAATATACCATTTTTTACCTATTTCTTTAAGTTTTCGTAGAAAATGCACTTTCTTATAATTTGGACCTCGTTTATCACTATATACCCATGGAATATTGATATTTTATATTTTTTAAAACAACATATGTACAAAATGGTAAAAATAATAATATTGCAAGCCCATTTGTTTACAAGAAGAAGAGTATTTAAATCTTCGTTAAAGAGTATACCAATTATTATTAATTATTAATATACCACCATTATTTCCACCCAAAAATTAGTTAATTACATACTTAATTGTTTTAATTAATAAACTTTTCTAAATAAATGTGGATTTGATCTTGAAATCGATACAATAATAAGTTATGGAAATGAACGTCTCTGTTGTTATTAATAAGCATTTGTCAAAAAATGAAATAAAATTTATAAGGTGTTACTTTTTACCACACTGTCTAATACACATACAAAATTCACTTTTTTAGTATTTGGAGCAATTATTATTAATCAACGTAAACGGTCAATTAATGTAGTTTGAATACTGGGATCATATTAATTGGTCCTCTTTAACAAAAAATTTTTAAATAATTTAGTGTCTTTTAATGAAATAAGCGAACTACATCGACAATATTACTATCTGTATTTTTTGAAAATTTGATACATCTTTAAAAATAATCTAAAATCTCAATATTCCATGGGTATAGTGATAAATGCAGACAGCCACCGTCTCGTTACCGGTTTCGGGGCCTATACCCCATCGTCAGACGAGCCAAACGGGCTGAATTTCCCAGAACAGCAAACAAACAATGTAGTTAAATAGTTACTGTCTCTTGAATCATTGTAAATGCTATACAGGGCGAGTCTTAAATAAGTGCAAATATTTCCAGGGTTCGATAAAAGAAACATATTTTCTCTTTACCGTTTTTCAGATAAGTTCAAAATAACAAAAATGATTTTTTGCTTAAATTTTGAGAACCACTGGATCCTTTCTGTTTTTTTTTTCTTGTAAATTTAATCTACTACCTATATTGCCATATTATCAAGAAATTATGTTTCTTAACTAAAAAATAAATAAAAACATCGCAAAAAAACTCATGATCATGTCTCTGGGGTCGATATATTCCAACACCAGAAAATATTTGCGCTTATATAAGGCTCACCCTGTATATGAAACGACACAATGAAAAATATCGCCAGCTCGAGGACTATTATTTTACTATAGCCTGGAATTAGTTTGGAATTTATTACAAATGTTTAATATTCGTCCTGCCGCCATTAGGTGTAAAGAATTTAATTAATATTTCGGTAATTATGCCGAAATTGAAATTCTATAATAAATTATAATTTGGAATTTATTAGAAATATTTTATCTTTGTCTCGCCCTTTTTAATTGTTTTTATGATAAATTATATTTCTTAAATAATATAATTTCGTTGCAAGAAATACATAAATTATATAAAATGATATTTAAGCAGATTTTTTTAAAATAAACTTTAATCTACTTTAACTTGTACATTATACATATGCATATTTTCATTAAAACATTTTCTGCTTTAACTGCATGACCCATATAACGTACTAATATTTTATACAGCTCTTTTAAAATGCCACTGAAGTATATTTAAATTACACATCATATTTAAAACTCAAAGAGACTAAGTTAGATAAGCCCTTACTAAAGATAAATAAAACTTTTTGAGTCGCTTAGATGGTTACACCGAATCAACATGAATTTATAATTAAAATACCTGTTAAAATGCTTTCGAAAAGCTCCACTAACGAAGTAGAGAGCCACTGGATTGGCGCAGGAGTTGATGTAGCACAAACAGAATCCAAAAATTCTGAAATAGTGCCAGAAGGGACTGTAGAGCTCTTGAGACTGGTCGTTGAAGTAGAAGAATAGCATAAAGGCGTGGAATGGTGCAAAACATATTGCAAATACTGCTACGAAGACTAGAACAGTGACTGCTACTTTTTTTCTGGCTCTGATCTGAAAGAACAATGTTTTGTAATTAACTTTTAAAATTTTACTGTCTTATTTAAATTAATTTAGTATATATTGTATTCGTGACAATTTGAAAACGAACAGTATTTAATATTGCCTCTACCGATGATAGTATGAAAATTTTCCAAGAAACACGTTAATTTACATATCAAGGGACAATTTTTGAGGCATTTGTTGTCGTGTTACTGGTAGGTACAAACATTTTTAAATGAAGTTCTATGAGGCGGTGAATGCATTTTAAAATTAGATATTAAATACATTTCATTCATTTGTGAGGTTAAGTATTACAATTTTGACAAAATAATAATGCAGTTTATGTAGAATTTTATAAGGAACACAAAAATGGTAAAAGAAATAGGGGTTGCCATTTAAAATTTTAGGGGTAGGTGCCATGAGGGACAAAGGGTTGAAAGTAACACGACAACAAATGCCTCAAAAATTGTCCCCCTTGATATGTAAATTGACGTATTTCGCCAAATTTTCATATTATTATCGGTAGAGGTAATATTAAATACTGTTCGTTTTCAAATTGTCACTCTGTATACTAACTTGTAATTGTTGTAGCTTATTTATAATAACTAATTGTACGGAGCAATCAATAATGACTGAAATAGTTCGAGTGTTAGAGGAATTTATAATTATTAATTTTTACTAATGCTACAACAAATTATCGATAGAAAAATTGTAGCACTTTTGCTAGTTTTAACTTTGTTATATGTAAATTCGATATATTTTTTAATGTAAAATATTTTTCAGAACAACTATAGTGTTCAATATGGAAAAGGAATGCTTTCATATATAATATACTGGGTGGTCCAAACTGTATTCCGGAAACTTCGGCAGCATATTCTGCAATATATGTCCTAAAATGCTTAGTTTCGGAGATACAGGGTGTAGAAGTTTCATTTTTATTTCGATTTTTTCCAAATCATTTCCGAAGTAACGTCAACATTTGGATGAACATTTGTGTCTGGGAGTTTTTTGACATGAGAAATTTGATTTTGATGTCAATATGAATCCTACTAGTAGAGGGGCGCCACATACATATTTTTTAACTGGTTTGAATAGTAATAACTTTTCGTCCGTACCTGTATAAAACTACTGCGTAAAAAATATACATTCACGACGTTTTTTACGTAAAAAAGGTCCTTTGGTAAAAATCGCTACGAGTAATGGTTCTCGAGATATTTGGAATCGAAATTATCAATACCTGTCATCATTGACATAAATTAAACATGTTGACTAAATAGTTATTAGACTGAGATCATAAATTTGAAATGTTTTTGTGCTAAAAGTTCAACAGAAACTATTTTATCATCATTTTTTTGCAGAAAAATTTATGATTAATTTAAAAAAATAAAAATTTCCCAAATTTATTATTTCAGTAAAATAACTATCTACTCAAATTGTTTATTTTTCGTCAATAATGACATGTATTGACTCTTTCCATTCTAAATATCTTGAGAACGGTTGCTCGTAACGATTTTTAAAAAGAGATATTTTTTACGAAAAAAATCACAGAGATGTATATTTTTTGCCGTGGTAGTTTTATACAGGTACGGACAAAAAGTTATTACGCTTTAAAACAGTTAAAACACATGTAGGTGGCGCCCTCTACGAGTAGGCGTCATATTGATATCAAAATCAAATTTCTAATGTCAAAAAACTCCCAGATACCAATTTTCATCTAACTATTGATGTTACTTCAGAAATTGTTTGGAAAAAATCGAAATAAAAATGAAATTTCTACACCTTGTATCTCCGAAACTAAGCATTTTAGGACATACAATTATACGAACTTTTTGACTTATTTTTATCTGCAGAATATGCTGCCGAAGTTTCCGGAATACAGTTCGGACCACCCTGTATATAATCACGGCATATTTTCTTCCCAGCGTTCAAAACAAAGTTAGAAATTAAAACTTAATTAGTGAAGTAACTTTTAATCAATTCAGTATCACAATTTTGAGTATCGTTTAATTATTTATAAAATATCAAAAACGTATGGTGTAGCTGGTCGATTTAAAAATACTGTTAACCAGAAAGCAATGCGTCGTGAGAAATTTCCTGATTCGTGGCAAATTTTGAGATCTAGGAATGCTTTCATATATAATAAAAAATGAAATTTTAACCCAAAACACCATATTTGTGGAAATTCTACGAATCCCCAATTCGAAAAACTACTTTTGAGGGATAAAAATATATTTTCATTGCATTAATAGTCTCAGTTAGTACATTTGCTATTAAATTTAATTTTAATAAAAAATAAATGCAAATGATATACAAACAAATTATGATAAAATAGTATATTTACCTGTCTGTGCATTCCTTGCAGTTCGCCAGGTACGTTTCTAGTACTGGTGATTAAGGAAATGGCCATGCTTAGGTAGAACCCAAAAATAATGGTCAGTGGTATAATATAGAGCACCAGGAATCTGGCCATGACCATCACTTTGGGATACTGATAGTCGAGCCATTCTTCGGGAAAAGGATAACATACTTCAAAGCGCAGCACGTCATCGTCATCTCTGATCTCTTTGATGTGCGATCCGATTAATGCAGGTATAGCGCAGATAAATGCTAACACCCATATGCCAACAGCTGTGCAGATGGTGATGCGCGTTGCCCTTCTGCCTCCACCTGAAATTAAATTATATTTTTAGAGAAATTATAAAAAAATGAAATATTTTTTAAATGTGAGGAAACTCTATTTTAGAACTGTAAATTCCAATTGCTCGTTTAAGACTGTGTTGATCTAGGTTAGGTACACAAAATCAATTTTTAAAATTGATTTTTTATTGAAAACAGTTTGCAAAAAAAAACAAGTCGCATTTAAAAAGTTCTAGTCCATATTAATAATTGAAACCGTTTCATAAAGAACAATACATTTAAAATAAGAATAGAGAAAGCGTATACGTTTTCATTTCCATAAAAGTGTATAGGTTCTTACTTAAATATGATACTGCATACTGCATATTCAGATAGAGAAAGCTCGATTGTTGTAAATTAACCCTTGAAAATGACTGTAATACTGGAAATGGCGTTTTCTGTAAACGCAGAGAATAGAATGTAATGCTTTTCATTTCTACTTGTTCTTCTTTTATATCAAACCTATTTTAAAAGTTTAGTTAGTTAATTTTTGTATTTTTTAAAGTTTAATTCTAATTTTTGTTCGTATAGTTAAAGAATATTTGTGTAATATTAAGCATTTTAAAGCATAATATGTTTATAGGTACTTTTTATTTTTATCTGTAGAATCACCCACCGAAGTTAAATACACTACTCTTTGACACTCTGTATAATCAAATTTCATATGAAATATGTTATTGTAGTAAAAAATATACTTTATTTGTTGTAGTATTAAACTAGTAAGTTGTAGCTTGTTATTGCTTTTATACATACCGTGCTGGCAACTGTTACTTTTGGGTCGGCATTTACATGTGTGGAAGTAAATTGCATAGGGATCTTATTAAGTCGGAGTGAGAGAAATGCGACCGACCGACTCGACGCGCGACGGTGTGCTGTTGCGGTGTTGCCGATACGCCTTTCCCTATCAAGTAAAGTAAAATCACGATCGCAAACCGCTTTTAAAAGACTTTTTTTCAAGAGATAACTAGATAAATTCATTAGACACGTTTCTGAGCGTCTGAAATGGAATTATAAGGATATCGTTAGGGTGTCATTTTTTTTATAACGAGAAAACGTCAGTAATCGCGATAATTTAAAAACTTAACTTTTTCACACATAACAGGTCATAACTCAAGAACCACTTTAGATATTGAAACTTTTTTTATTTTCAAGATCGGATATTTTACAATATGTTTACATCAGAAAAATTCGATAAGGTTGTTTTATCCATTCAAAAATTGTAAACAATCCATACATTTACTTTTAGAGCATAGCAATTTTCAGCAATCGTGTAATTTTTTTATTCATAAAGATTTTCACATACTGTCTAGAAAAAAAATACAGCAGAAATATTAACAAAGTTCTCGAAAAAACTACAATCTATTATTTCTAATAGATTTCGAGATATCGATTTTTGAATTCAGAGTTCTAATAGCGCGACCACTATCGAACACCCACTCAATTCCACTTATTTTTACAAAAAATGCAAGTGTTTCTAGCTTGCACTTAAAAAAATTCAAGCTATAGGGAAAATTACAACGACTCGTTAATAAATAACAAATTAAGTATCACGAGACGTAATTAAATCGTGACGCTGGACGCATGACGTACACCTTTCTCTAGAACTTTAAGTACTGACAGGTATTGATTGGGTCGACCGGTCAACTGCGACAAATCTGCTATATCCCCTTCCACGTCTCTTAGCGATGTGCACAGTTTCTCGGTTTATTTTATACGTTTGGCAACTTGTTTACTGTCCTCTCTTTGTTCAGTACATTATAAACGCATTGTACTCTTCTTACATACGGAAATCTCGACCCAAGACTAACCTTTGCCAGCCCTTAGTGTATAAATTTTACAGCGTTCAACACTTTTTTAGGTTATGATAATAAACTTTTTATACAAATTTACATAGAGATATTATATTATAAAATTTCAAAAGTAACAACATATTTAAGTTTCCTATTTTCTAAATAACATGAAACCAAATTATCAAGGAAATGCCTATCATACCCTTATCGGTTATCACAATTTTCATCATTTTCAGCGATATACTATAACCATTAGGGACTTAGCATCTTATCTCTAAGAATTCCTGTTCCCTAAAGAGCAAAATATAACGCCAAGATATATAATAATGTTACGGCAAGTAATACATCATTATGTAGATTCATCAATCATATCCTTTCCTCGAAATATCGGTATAATGTTATAATAAATTAAAAATTATTATTGGTTTATATAATATAATTTATAATGATGCAAATAAAATAATTAAAATTTTATATCTATATTTAAAACTGTCTGTTTTGGAACAGCAGATATTTTACAGGAATTTTAATATAGTAACAGCTAAAATTTTAATATATTTTAATATTTAATAAATGTAACTTGCTCTACTGAACCTAAAATTCAAAATTTAATTAACATTATTTCTGTACGCACATTACATGATTTTATTTTTACATACCGTATTATATTTATAATATGCTGTGTAATATACTTGCTTTACTATTTAGGGACTTTAAACGAATACTCTGGCAAGATGGACAGACAATAGATGGACCAGAAAAATTACAGCATGGTACCCATGAGGAATCAGGAGACCTAGAGGAACACCGAACATGAGATATTAGGAAATTAGCAGGGATACATTAGGTCCGCATAGCGAACAATAGACAACAATGGGTCCAATTACAAAAAGATTATTTAAATATGTGAGGGAGGCTACCCCATAATTGGAAATGGTTGAATAAGTTGAAAATTATGATGATGATGAAACAAATATTATAAAGCTTCATTCAGAACCTCGCAATTAGTGGAATAAGTTAGTGTTTTCAATTAGCGTAGTTTGTTCCTTTAATTGTAGGTTTGTTCCTTTAATTTCAATGTAAGCATTCAGAACGTCAAAATTAGTGGTAGATATCTTTAATTAGTAGAAAAAGTTGTCAAACTTTTAACTTTTCCACTAATTGTACTTCAAAATTTGCGAGAAATGCCATTTTGGTCTTTGATTATCTTCCGTCAAGAGAAATTGTGATAAGAAATCAAAAGTTGATTGTTTTATAAGCTAAATATAAAGGTTTCTCTATGGATACAACTGACTAACGCAAGCTGTTGCTAAGATATTCTATTAATTTTAATTGTGTTTTTTAAACATTGTGAATGATCGTAAACCAAAGAGTATAAAGTGTAATTGAAACCCTAATTTATTCCACTAATTGCGAGGTTCTGAATGAAGCTTAACTGTATTTGCGATTAACGCAAAACGTTCATTTGACTGATAATTCTTCTATTTGATAATATACAGATAAAGGTGCCGTTACACGGCGCGTCGATCGCCGAGCCTACAACAAAAAATTTCGCGCCGCGCTCCGTGTGATTGGGTCGGCGAGCCGATCTTCGGGCCACGGCCAGGTATATGTGCAGTTACAGGGCGCTTGGATAGCCGAGCCTGAAACAAAAAATACGCGCCACAGGCCGTGTGAATGGGTCGGCGCGCCGATCTTCGGTCGGCGCGTCCTTCCCGTCGACTGACGGTAAATTTCAAAGTAAACGCGCCGTGCGAGGTCTTCGTCTTCACCAGTAATTCTTTTAAATTCAGTTAATTTTATTTGTTACATAATTTATTTAAATAACTCCATTTAATGCAAACATACATAATTTGATATTAGCTTAAAAAATCTATAAATATCATATTAATTAGGTATAAAAATTACTGATAAATACAGGGTATACCAATATAATCTACCATGTTATTGTTTAAAATTATTATTTATTCTAAATGCTGTATAAATGATATACTCGTATAGATAGATATAGTTTATTAGTTCTAAGTATAATAATATAAGTTACATACAAATACCCCGAAGGGTGTAGAACATGTCAAAAATGTTGACTATTACTAGAAGGGTGGGAAGCACTATATACATTTTGCTGAGGTGATTTATGTATGTGTAGTAATTGTATTTGATACTTAATTTATGCTTCTAAATTTTACAGCAGCTATAGAAATATTAATTCATAAAGATTTGTACAATTATGCTATTTAAAATTTGTATAGCTATACTAATTTATTGGCGGTAATTTGAGCGGTGGTAATTGCCGATGATTATAACAATATATTATAGGTACCAATTTACCCCTCAGTGCGATTAATTCAATCACAAATGAACTGATTTATAGCCGGCCAGGTATTAACCGGTACTACAAAAAATTGTTTATTTTGAACACAGTAGGTATGTGATAAATTTGATTATGTAACCTACCATATCTATCGAAAAACGGAGATTCGAAGAATAATTGATATTTTACATATTTCGAGACATGTTTTGGTCGAACGAGAGTATATCTGAGTTTTTACCCCTATATGAAAAAGAACAAATAACGTGGAACACCAGAAATAACGCACATAAAAATAGAAATAAAATACAGGACGGCTACCTGAGAATACATCAAAAGTTGAGTATCAATAATTATTGCACCGTGAACGAATTAAAAAATTAATTAATTAAAGAATTAAAAAAGAAGAAGAGTTGTTCTAGTCTTTTTAGTTCCTAAAATACTGGACGAATTTTAAAATGTTGCATTTTTCGATTCCATCGTATATCGGATATCTTATAACTTATCGAAAAGGTGAAAACTCAGTCTCGTTCTCGTTTAGTTTTTTACGTAGAATCCAGTGATTTTAACTAGAGAGACAGATGAGACACCCAGTATATTATTTTTTATAATTTTTGCCTTGTTATGGGCTTTCTGAAAATATGATATGCTCTAAAATTATATTTTCATAAATAAGGCAAAAAAATATTATTTAACTTTTGAACCTAAATAACCCTAGTTAAAAAGAGTATTATTTTATTTAATTTAATTTTACCAGATAATTTTGCTTTCCATCTTGTTATCTTAATAAACTACACTGAAAATAAAGTTGCGGAATAAATTATTTGATTGTATGAATTTAAACCCAATTTAAACCGATAGTCTATGTTAAAAAGTTATATAATGTATTT